GGGGGGGGGGGCAAGGCTACAATGAAAAACAAAGAGTCTGAAAGAAGAGTAAATTATATTTATTATGAGGAATATAGAACGAAGGTCTTCAAGGGAACCTTATGCGGTCAAAAATCCCTTCCTTGCTGAATTTCGTCCGGCTATAGGGATCCATCTGTTAAGATCTGTATGTCTTCTGTACACCTACCTATCAGTGATTCAGTCTGTTCGTCAATCTGTTTGTCTGTTAGTCTATCAGTTCACGTGTAGACTGTAGACGTCAGTTCTTTGTCTGTCCGTCTAAATTGATTTGACGAATATTAACTTAAAATGGGAAAGATCCTGAGAAAGAAGTTTCTGTGTTCAAAGTACAACCGTAACCCTTGACCAATTAAAATTTCGTTTCCAGGCGCTGTATGAGTACACAGTCAACTATGATGAGTCAGCAGAGGTAACTACACTGTCTCTTAAGAAATGAATAAACATTATGAACAGCTTCAGATATCTTAGGAAGATGAAATTCTGTGCTTCGAATTTTTTCGTGCAAAAGTGAATTTGACTTAATCTTCCTAAGAACAGATACCTCTGGTCTAGATATAACTTGCGAGACTTCCCACTTGTAGAATAATTAAGTCTTAGATGCCTTGGCCGGCTCAGTTTATTAACTTGATAATCTCTTGATTAAACATGTTTAACATTTTATTTCTTTCAGACTAAAAAGCTCTGAGGAACTGAATGAAAAGATTTATTTTTGACACGATACCGAAAAAAACGAGCTTGTAGTCAGACTTATTCCCCCTTTTGACAGCTTTACTGTTCAGTCACAACCGTAGCTATGGAAATCTTGTTATCATGACATTACTGATGTCTTGCTTATTAGGTTAATAATTTCATCATATTTTGTTCTGCATGTTATTTGAGCAATGTTATCGAATACTAGATTATTATAGAGCGGAGGCAAGTAGTCGTTACCGTGGTCAAGTCGTCAGCTATTTTTAGTAGTGGAGACGTTCAAATTTGTACTTAAACTTGGACTAAAATCAAGTTGTCATCTTAAAGTTAAGTTCATGGCCAATCTGCCCTTGTTATGATAACTGAATTATAGTTTATCGTGTGCCCGTGACAGAAACTTGTTATGAGTCTGTCACACTCAGAGGAAGTTGGCCGCACAATAGATATTATATTTTTTATTACTTATCTATTTTTCAAGAGCTTATGCAATTTTGTAGTTAGGCTTTGCTGCCCTTGATGGTAAAAGACTGTGGTCAACTAAATACGGATATTTCCTGTTTTGTTCATACAGCCAATTAAAAGGCTACAAAATATGTTAAAAACTGCCGGTAGCAGTCAGTCTCATCTGCGACATATTTAATATCTCACGACGTTCTGTCCGCTAGAGGAGCATTAATCGTCGAACCTTCGTGCGAAAGGAGCCCAACCACGAGATTGTTTGTTGCCTCCCCCTTTCCGATGTAATCAAGACAATTTTCGACTTGCCCTCCCCCCTCCACTCTCTCTCACACACACACACCCTACCCTTACATGCTAATACACACCTCTCGTTTTCAAAATGACGGGGGAGTGGGGGGTGTGGCTGGTTCGAAGTTCGATACGGAGTTGGTCAGGAATGGATCAGCATGCCTTGAACTAATTGGTTTTGGGTACCCGCTGTAAGGAGAGGTTATACTACACTCCTACATATTTCAAGGTCCGGATCCGGCAAGGCAACAAAAACTGTATCTTGCATAGAATCCAGTTCTTTCTTATTTAAATTACGTGACTTCAAAATCGTTACAACAGCAGCGACAATGAGGAGTGTGGTTTGCGGGTTTTCCCGTCCGCTGCGTGTTTGCGGTCTTTATCGGTTGTTTGTTTTATAAACAGCTTTCAGAATGTAATTACCTTACGGAGCCGCCATAAAAAAACATACAAAAAAAGGAGGTATCGTCTTTATCAGCTTTTATACGCAATGTCCACTGCGTATTTGCGGTCTTTATTGGTGGTTTTTTACATAAACAGCTTTCAGAATGTAATTTGAGTTCAGCCTCTAAAACCCTAACTTAGTAACACTCAAACTATTGTGAGCACACGTTTCACATGTTTTATTTCAATACGCGTACTACTCCAAGAACGATGTCAAGGATAACTTGAATTCTTCTTTATGGTGAGTAGATAGAGATATTGCCATTCAAGACCGATCAAATTAGCACAGTGCAGCTTTGTTTTCGCTTTATTTCGAGCATTTACTTGGAAGAGAGATAACCCGTCGAAGAACGATCTGATTACGCTTGTGTTCAACAAATCAGTGGATCACATGTTTAACTTGATTAAATTAGCAAAATGACATTGCTGAACACACCTACTGTTTAACTTCGCATTCATGTGGGACAATGCCAAACTTGCAGGCCATAACCAAGGATTAAAAAAATCAATATCGATGTTTACTTTTCTGACATGCCTGTCAAATCACTTAATTCCTAGCACGTTTAGTGTTGCGCGTCGGGTCGAGAGTTCAGAAGACTTTTCTGTTGCTTACTTCATCCCAAGCATACCGATTTCTCGCAAACAGTGACTACGCGAGTGGCTTACACAAACAAAGGTAATGTTATGCTCTTTCCTACGCGACTTTAGCAAGCTCAGGATCTCTATTGAGTTGATAAGCAGCACCTTTATAATTCTAGAAACAAATCAAAGGAATCGCCGCCAACGTCTAAGAGGCAAGGTCAGTTGACGTTGACTCAAGCTGCGGTGGTCTTGCACGAGCTGTTCGTTCCCTCAGCAAATTGCGAGTGCGCTTGTCATCGAATGTATTCTACGAGACAATTTTGTGTTAAGCTTAAT